AAGTTGAGATCACCCTGAAGAGTGATGCCACGGCTGCAATTGCCATTGCGTTCAGACGAGGTTTAGGGAAAGTGAGACACATTGAAGTATGTCAACTGTGGTTGCAGCAGAAGGTAAAGGAGGGGGTACTTCGAATTTTGAAAGTAGGAACACATGAGAACACAGCAGATGCATTAACCAAGTATGTCAGTCGTGAGAGCATGAGCACACACCTACGAAACACGAATCAATGTGCATTAACAGGTCGGCATAGTCTTGCGCCGGCTACCGAATGTTGACATTCGCAGCTCATTTCTGTCAAGCAAGCCGTCTCGATTAAAGCCTCCTCCATCCATTACCTCTTACTCTTGAGCGTGAACGAAAGCATGGCGGGTCACCAGGTCAACGTCACGATCAACGGCGCCGCGGTTGACCAGAGCCCGCCTGGGGATGGACCGGTTACGCGTGAGAACCTCAATCGCCGTGTTGACGACATCGTCAACGTTGCCCATGCGTTTACCGTGACCCTCGCCAACATGGCCATTAACTTTCACGGGGCCTACGACAAGCATGTTGACGAGGTGCAGAGGGCTGCCGATGACATGGCGCGGAGGATCGAGGATTTAACGCGGCAGAACGTTGCGTTGCTCCACGCCAGTGACGACGTCAACGAAAACCTCAAGAGGGCGCAGGACGAGGTCAACGCTCTGGTGGCGACGATTACAGAGCTGAACATCAAGAATCGCGACTCGGAGGTTAACACGGCGGAGAATGCGACCAAGTACAGGCGCATTAACGAAAACATTGGTTACCTCTTGAACACCGCCAGACGTCTCACCGAGAACATCACGCCTCTGCGGGACTTCGAGGGCAAGCGGGATGCGGCACTACGCATGTTAGTGGGAGTTACCGAGAGGCTTGAGGGTTTACAGAGGTTCTTGAATGACCCGATCAGCTCCTCGGTTACCATCATCCCGCAGGTGCCTCCGCCGTTACCTGAGCTGCCCCCAACGGCAGCGCTCGCCAAGGCGCCACCCGTTGCCGTCGCCGCGGCAGCCGAGTCCATGGCCTCAGGCGCGCCCCCAGTAATGCAGGTTAACGTGGCTCCATCAGGGACAGCTCCCCCGGCTCAGGACCTTACCGGCGCAACCACCAAAGCCGGAGGGATCCGACGGTCCATGTCGCCGAACAAGATCCCGCAGTCAACGGAGCCACAACCTGTTTACAAGAAAGTGCCAAAGGCCATGCATGAGCGCAAGCGGGAGTTGGAAGAGTTAATGCAGATCGGCATGAAGATGGATGAAGACCGTGCGAAGAGCAGTCAACGTGACGAAGTACCAAAAGGTCCTACCCCTGTTGTGAACGCGAGGCCGGCCAAGCCGCCTCCCCCGGGGCTTGGCGAGTCCAGAGCATCAAGCAGCGTTAGTGGCATGAAGCCCCCGCCTCCGGAGCCCAAGAGGTTACCGGTCCAGCACATCCCGCCACCGCAGCCTCAAGTCGTTAACCGCACGAATGACCAGCTTGCGGGATGCTCTCGGAACGTCGCCAGGGCCGTGTACCGCCCGCTGTACCGCGTCAACGGTCACATGCCCATGCTGAACGACAGGAGCGACGACTACGACGTTAACTACAAGGCGGAACCTGACCCCAGGGAAGCGGTCGCATTAACGATGAAGACGCGCGACAACTGGCGCAGGTTTGAGGGCAACTTCGTCGGGCATGTGGCGAAGGTGGGGTTAACGACCCCTGGCGGTCGGTCTATTCAGGGCAACGCAGGGCGGGAGCTTAACGATTACGATGAAGTGTTCGTTGACATCTACGGCCAACATGCTTACGGTTTCACCGGCTATGCCGTGCTGAAGGGCCCGATCAGCTGGAGATCTCAGTTGACGGAGAAAGAGTTGACCAAGCATGATGAATGGGTTGACGCAGTTGGACACGTGCAGTCCCTATTTGACGACGAGTACGTGCCACCACTCCACGTTGACGGTCTCCACCCATCGTGGTTTGAGCTCCACAGTTGCCCGGACACGCAGGTGTACGTCAACAAGGTGCCGGAGATGAACGAGAAGCAGCTTAACGGTCTTCTCTTAACGTGGGCTTGGATGCTGCCCCACGGCAACCCCACCGTGATCTCCGTTAAGCACCTGGTGGAAGACACCCGTGGGCCGCACGGTTACATCTCGACTGGAGTTACCGTAATTCGGTTTGCGACGCCTGATCTTGCCAAGCTCTACTGCCGTTACATGAACGGGCTCCAGGTGCATTACCGTAACTACTTCATCGAGGACCTCGAGGTCAGGAGCACCGAGGAGTTAAAGGGCAGCATCAACAGGCCTCCAGTCTACTGGCACCAGACCATCTTAGATGTCGCTCTTAACGATCAGGGATCCATGAGGGCAGTTTACCGTGACAATTGGCCTGCTGATCATATCACCGAGCGTAAAAGCGATCATCGTGTGAAGCTTTGCTGGTTTGGCTGGTTACCGTGCGACGACTTCCCCAACTGGCTTATCGATCCGACCTGGACTGTGAACCCGTTTACCGGCGCTGCGGTCGAGGAGCACCTCCGTAACAATCCAGGCGGTGGGCCTCTGTTGAAGGCTCCCCACGCCAGTTACTGGAGGGCCATCGGCACCTACCACAACATTGTTGACGGTTCCATCGAGAGCTTTGACGAGGGGTGCTGGCTCGACGACGAGGAGCGCATTAACGCGTACCTGGACACCGACTATTACAGCCCGATGCAGGCCCTTAACAGGGCGTCGTCCTACACAGCAGCCAGTGTGGGGCATCGCGGGTTACCGAGGTCGAGGGGCGCACGGGCCCCGTCGGTGAGGCGCCCGCGCCGCTCGTAAAAGGCGGCAGGTGACCAGCATGCTGTAGTTTACGCTCTCCCTCATCTCCCCTCTTAACTTGGCTTAACAATCGTGCGGCGGTAACTTGTTGAGCTGAGCCTGTATGCATGTGCATCTTTTGTAGTTACCGCAGGTATTGGCGAATAAAAAGCGAAAGCAACCAAAATCATCCAAATGCTAGCCTGCCGTGTAAACTTTAGATGCTCCGTTTAAACTTGCGACTGCAAGAGCGTCTACTCGAGCCCATGTTACATGCGTGAGAAACGTGGTGCTCGCAAACGCTGTCACGAGACCTTTCGAATTCAACGATATGACGATTTGCGTGCAGCACGTTGCGCAGTTTAACCTGTTTTTATGTTTGAAGACACCTCCCCGTCAGCCCGTACGGACTAGCGTCCGAGGGGGGTGTTAACATGCAAGCGTTCAGGTGACTGGGGAGGAATAGTAACCCTGTTACCTTTGGCTCAAGTGTTTAACGGCTGAAGCCACCGAGACTCGCTTCGCCGTGCGGGAGTATAAAGGTGACCGATCATCATCACTGTTACTGGGCTCCCGTGCAGAACTCTCCTCGGGGTTTTGCAAGAGGAGGAGGAGGAGAGGGAGGAGGAGGAGGAGGAGGAGGAGGAGGAGGTCCCTCTTCCTGCTCTTCCTGGCCCCCCCCCCTCCGCGGCGCACCAGGGGGGGGTGGTCACCCGGGGGTGTGGTTTGCGACCTGCGCCGTTGGGGCTCTCGGTGGGACCGTGCGTTGTGTCAGAGGTCCGATGGGTCCTCGTGAGGGCGCGGCGGGGCACTCTGTCGAGGTCCCCGCCCGCCCCCCAGGGGCGCGGGTGGCAAACCACACCCTCTGCAAACCGCAGACTGCGGAGATCCCGAACCAGGGGGCCACCACCAGAAATGGATCCGGAACGCACAACTAATCCCGGGGAAGGGGTCGGGATGTCTGGGGCCACGGATTTAAAAACTCATATCGGAGGATGTCTACACTTCCCGGGGGGGGCTTCCTCCTCGACCACTCCTGCCCGTCGTCCCCACCGTCCTTCTCCTGGCCCCCCTCCTGGCAGGGACCAGCTCGATTCGATCAATATGGTTCCATACCGATCTCGCCCTGCTCGATCCGATTCGACCCCATTGTTCAGGCGATGCGATGCGGCCCGATGTTTGCACGGCTTAGAGTTGGGGCCCTGAAGAAGGAACCCTCTTCGTTGGGCAGGGGCTCGGTTTTCCTTGATGGTTTAACAGTTTGCCTGAGGTTGTCCTTAGGTTTTCGATGGGAAATCAAAGTTTGACTTCTCGGAAAATGGGGCCCCGGTCCTTATTAGGGTTCCTTAGGTCAACGCCTCGACTGTAGTTGCGCATCTGATTCCGAGCCGAATGTCCGATCGATCCGATGCACGCTCCGATCCAGTCCAGCTTAGCGATTCGATGCTGTACTCTCTTGCCTGAAGGTCGAACACCGAGAAGGTAGATGATCGAGGATCGGTGAGGTGATGGACCTTTCTGTGCGCCTGTGGGAGTCCTTGGCGGGGCCTGACGGGGGCCCCATGAAGGCCTGGTAAGTTTTCCTGCCGCCTCGGATCCTGAACCGCCAGGGGTCCCCTGCGGCATCCAAAGGCTTCCAGAGGCATCCAGAGGCCCGCCAGGACAAAAAACATCCGAACCCCTCCCCCCTCGACGCCCCAGGGTCGAGGGCGAGGAGGTGGCAACGCCCCTGAGGTCAGGAGCGCTTGCTTCACATGTGGCACAGCCGGTTCTGGTCCACCACGCTGCGGCGCGACACGATGCGGTCGCCAGGCGTTCGAGGAAACGTAAGACTCGAGTAGGCCGGAACTCGGGTTTGCCGACGTTTTTTGACGAGCGCATCCTGGATTTTGATGGTCTGGTTTTCGTGGGACGTTTGCAGCGGGAGCCCGCGTGAAATCTCATATTGGGTCTCGTCATGTTTATATAATGGCCCCATCAGGCCAACCCGAGTCCCCCGTACCCGAGTCTTACGCCTCCCCGGGACGGCAACGTCTCGAGCCTCTCCCGGCCTCCCATCCCGTGGAGCGGAGCGACGCGCCGTGCGCTCGCAGGGCGCGGCGTGTCGTCGGGGCCGCCGCCCGGGCACGCCGAGCAAAAGCGCCCGACCGTCATGGCGACTCCTCCTTGGCACTGCCTGGTCAGCATGCGGGCCTGCGAGTGGCTGGTGCTCACCTCGCGCGTGGAGAACCGGATCCGGAAGACGCCGATGCAGATACAGGCGGGCGCGGCTTTCTCCTCCGCCCCAATCTCAGTTTCGTCCTCCTCATCCTCTCTTCCTGGAGGCCTGGACTGGAGGGTTTCTCCGAAGGGCTTAGGCGACCCGTCCCCCTCCTCCTACTCCTCCTCCTCCTCCTCCTCCTCCTCCTCCTCCTCCTCCTCCTCCTCCTCCTCCTCCTCCTCCCCTCCCCCTCCTCCTCCCCCTCCCCCTCCTTCTCCCCCTCCCCCTCCTCCTCCTCCTCCTCCTCCTCCTCCTCCTCCTCCTCCTCCTCTCCTCCTCCTCCTCCTCCTCCCTCCTCCTCCTCCTCCTCCGCCTCCTCCTCCTCCTCCTCCTCCTCGGGTCGCCTACGGCCCAGGCGGAAACCGTGCAGCCTGGACAACTCCCCCTGGGCCGTTTTTTCCCCCGCGGATCGTCTTCGTTGGCGTCCCCGCCGTCCGAAGACGGCCTGCCGAGGCCGAGAACAGTGCACAGCGTGCGCACTGGCTCGCGGGTGGCCGGGCTCCCCGCGCGGCACGGAGGCACGGCGCGGCACGGACTGATGGGCAAATTTCCCACCACCACTACCACATGTAGGACGGGGGAGATGGGAGGATGAGGAGGTCCTCCTCCTCCTTATCCCTCCTGATCCTCCTCCTCCTCCTCCTCCTCCTCCTCATCCTCATCCTCATCCTCATCCTCATCCTCATCCCTCCTCCTCCTCATCCCTCCTCCTCCTCCTCCTCCTCCTCCTCCTTCTCCTCCTCCTCCCTCTCCTACCCATGGCAGTGGTGGTGGAACATGGGCCCGTCACGGACGGGGGCGCGGAAGGGTACCTGGTCCCCCGCGCTGGGCCCTGGCGGCCCTCGTCTTCTCTCGGGGGCGGCCAAGAGGGGGTGATGCCGGGGGGGGAGATCATGGCGTGGGCCATGATACCTCCCCAGATTTCATGGCGCCTCTTCTTGTTTCATTACGTTCCCGGCCCCCACCCCCCGTGCCGCGCACATGCCACTGGCCATGATTTGCGCCCCCCCCTCTTGGACGCCCACCTCTTGGATGCCCCCGACCCTCCCGACCGCACGGCGCCGCGCGGCGCGGACAAGACAGGACAGACCTGCGGGCGAGAACCCTTTTGTTCAGGCACGCCCCCTTTCTGGCCTTCACTGAAGCCCAACCCATGGCAGGGCGCATTCCACGGAGCAGGGCTCGCGCATGTGACGACACGTACGTGTCTGCGCAATCCGTCGCGTCAGCTTGCGGCCCCCCCAAACATCCCGCGCTCCCATGTTTTCGACTCGTCGGCCCCTGGATGCCTGGACAACTCCCCCAGGGCTAAGTCGGGCCTGTCCCTCTACAGGAGGAACATTCAAGAGTAGTAAAAACATAGTCGGGGGACGATGTTTTCTGGCGTGTTTGATCATGTTGGGGTATGTTGGGATTTTGCTTTGCCCCAAGCAGGGGGACATGCCCGACCTAACCCCAGGGCCGTTTTTTTCTCCCCGGATCGTTGTTTGGCGTTCCCGCAGCTCGACAACGGCATCCACATCCTCGCCACCATCTCCCTCTTCATCACCGTCAGATTGACCATCAGATCGATGGCCATTGCCGTCATCCTCTCCGTCATTCCGTCATCGTAAATACCTCCGTTGCCACCATCAATGACGACGTGCTCGGACAGGCGTGCGCGCGCTTCCATCGCTGCGAATGCCATCGGGGGCCAACTTAAAGCCAAAAACCAAGGGAACAACCCTTACGGTTCAATTAGGTGTCCTGGGAGGGTGTCTACATGTAAGAAAAGATATGATGACAAAAAAGGAAGAAGGCGAGTGAGAAGGAGAAGGAAAAGACGAAGTGGTTGCCAGGACGGGCGGGGCGTTACATACTACGACTACGACTACTAGTACTACGGTTACTACTACTACTACTACTACTACTACTACTACTACTACTACTACTCTTACTACTACTACTACTACTACTACTACTACTACTACTACTGCTACTACTACTACTACTACTACTGCTACTACTACTACTACTACGACTACTACTACTACTACTACTACTACCACTACTACTACTACTACTACTACTACTACTACTACTACGACTACTACTACTACTACTACTACTACTACTACTACTACTACTACTACTACTACTACTACTACTACTACTACTACTACTACTACTACTACTACTACTACTACTACTACTACTACTACTACTATACTACTACTACTACTACTACTACTACTACTACTACTACTACTACTACTACTACTACTACTACTACTACTACTACTACTACTACTACTACTACTACTACTAACTACTACTACTACTACTACTACTACTACTACTACTACTACTACTACTACTACTACTACTACTACTACTACTACTACTACTACTACTACTACTACTACTACTACTACGACTACTACTACTACTACTACTACTACTACTACTACTACTACTACTACTACTACTACTACTACTACTACTACTACTACTACTACTACGACTACTACTACTACTACTACTACTACTACTACTACTACTACTACCTACTACTACTACTACTACTACTGCTACTACTACTACTACTACTACTACTACTACTACTACTACTGCCAATACCCATAGAACATTGATGATAGCAATACAAATGAAGCATATAAGGTAGCAACGTAATAGCGATCATAATGCTACGACTTCTATTACTACTCCTCAAGATCCGACTTGGAGCAAAGGCATCATTGCTAACAATCATGACCAAAGCCCCGCACCCCATTTCCCTGTGCCATGTTTCGAGCGGGATCCATCTGTGATGTTCCCGGGGCCCGAAATTGGGCGAAACCGTTTCTGCGTTGCGAATTTCTTCGCACTGGGCTTTTCTCAGATTCGGGACCCAGGGCCCTCGCAGATCGATCCTGCTCGAACAAATAACGCGAAACAGTTAGGCAGATGGCCCATGACGCAATGTTTAACAATGTTTCTGTGTCCATGTCGGATATCAGTTGCTCGATACACCAGCGCCGCCCAGGGCCAACCAAAGCGAGGCGCGGCGATCCGATGTCGATTCGATTCGGGGCGATTCGTTGGCGATCCGATCCGTGTCCGACGCGGTCCGACTTCGCGAGTTGGTCCAGCTCAGGCCTGGCGGGGTGCTTCTTCTCTGCCCTGCCCCAGGTGCCGAAGCCAGAGGACTGGCTGTACCACTGCGGAAAGGATCGGCCGGCTGGGAAGTCGAGGAGGATCGAGGACCAGTAAGGTGTTCGGACGTTCTCGCCCACTCCTGGAGGTCTTCCCTGCTTCCGGATGTGTTTTAGCAGCTGCGCTGCGCCGCGTCGTCTGCCCGAGTCTTCCCGAGCGGCCGCAGGCATCATGGCGGCAACATCGCAGAGCGGATTTCGCTCGGAGACCAAAGGAATGGGCCTCGATTGTCCTGGAGAGTGTCGCTCCGGATTTCGAAGTGCATTTCGCGCGGATTTCGTGTGGCCAGGAATGAAGACTGTTAAACATTCACGCGAAATTCACTTCGTTTTTCGCTTGCCGTCTCAGGGTTTTGTGTTGACAGAAGTCCACGCAAAAATCCGCTTCAGCACGTCCGCAGGTACCATTTGATGGGCATGTTATCCACCACCACCACCGCCACCATACGTTGGAGGGGGGAAGGAGGTGGAGGACGAGGAGGAGGACAAAGAGGAGGAGGAGGAGGAGGAGGAGGAGGACCCCCTCCCCCTCCTACTTATGGTGCTGGCGGTGGAAAGCAAGCCCACCATGACCCGAATGAAGCGAGAAGCGTCCTTGCACCGGAGCGATCTCTGGCGCACACAGCGCCAGGCTCTCGAGCGGTGGCGCGCTGGCAGCCATCGCCGTATCAGGCGTCGGCGCCTTGGCGGCGGGTCCAGCAGCGAGCGCGCGAGAGCCAAGATGGTACTAGGAGGAGGAGGGGGAGGAGGAGGAGGAGGAGGAGGAGGAGGAGGAGGAGGAGGAAGAGGAGGAGGAGGAGGAGCAGGAGCAGGAGCAGGAGGAGGAGGATGAGCACCCCCCCACGGGGGGGAGGAGGCGGGGACTCCAGGCGCCCGAGCACGCAGGCCGCGGCAGAGTCGCACCGTAGACGCAGCACGATCGGCAGGGCGCGCCCCCAAAAGACCAGTCGTGCCTACTCCAGGTTCCTCCTCCTCCTCCTCCTCCTCCTCCTCCTCCTCCTCCTCCTCCTCCTCCTCCTCCTCCTCCTCCTCTATCTCCTCCTCCCCCTCCTCCTCCTCCTCCTCCTCCTCCTCCTCCTGCTGCTGCTGCGCTCGCGCTCCGTGGGCAGGCTGCCCGTAGTGTCTCCGCGCGACCGCGCTTGCGCGGCCGCGCCCGGCCGCGGCCGACGGCGCCGACGACGCCGCCGCGGCCACTCAGCCCCCTGCCGCGCGGGTGGACCCATGGGGGGGGTCCAGGGGCGCGACAGGGGGCTGGCACACCGTCACAGCCCCCCTCGGAGGCATTGGGCCCATGGGGGGGGCCCCGCCGCTCCTCCGAGGGGGGCTGACCACGCCCGATGTCCGACTCAGACGGTCGGTCGGACCACCTTCTCCAAGGCCGACTGCAAGCCGCCCGCGTGGGGGGCCGTGACATCCAAGCCGAGCACGTCGCACTTGAGCAGCACTGCCCTCCCACGCACCAGCCAGTCGTTCAGCTAGCATCTCACTCGCGTCTCCAGGCCATTGAATCAGTATCTGAGGAGGGCCTGGTTGGAAGCCATTCCCATGCCAACACCATTCGTAAAAGCTGGACTTGATACTGAGCGGCAAACCAGACAACTTGCACGCCATAATTAATAGCGTCAGAAACCTCCGTGTCGTATTTGCAAAGTCCAGCTCCACCCGTCTCCTACCATTGGTAGATCGTGAACCCCAATCCTCACAATTTGAAGTTATAGACTCTACCTCACATATTATCGCAAAAATCCTGCCCATTGAAATGTCACGAATCAAGTCACTATGTTGGCCCCGCATGATCAGGTCGTCCATCCCAAACGTTCGAATGTCATGCCTAACAATTTCAAGACCATCAAGCTGATGAGCTGCCAAGTCAGCCTCAAGTTCACAATAAGACTCCAATCCATCGGTAAGCACTAGCACCGTTGATTCCGAACGTCCATCGAAGATATACTGAGGAAGGGCAACCGCAGGAACCTGTTCGGCAGGAAGGTGTACTGTTGGGGGTTCAACCTGATCCCGATGCGACTGCCTGCCTCGGACGTAGTTGGGGCCTCTCACTGGCGGGGCTAGTGCCTTCGATTCAGAATACCCCATCGATCTAAGCCGCGACGTCTCCTGTGCATCCTTGGCGTCCAGTTCTGCTACCAGAGAGGCTGGTAGTGGTGGTATCATCGCCCGCAAACTATCGAGGCACCCCGTGTCCCTGTACTTCAGGTGGTAGATCAATCTTTTCCGCGTGTGAAAATCCGAGTCGCATGCCCTGCAGTACCCTGTTTCCGCATAGTCACCAGCATTAGTAACACCACTATGTAGCCTTGTCCGATGTCCCTGCCACGCTCGCCGTGATGGAAACGTGTCGCCACATTCGTAACAGATGTACCTCTCAACAGTGTCCCCAACATCCCCAGGGATGGCCTGAAAAGCCAAAAGATGGCGCCGCCAAACATATAATTGATGTTCGCCTTGCATATTAATACGATGCCGTTGCCAAGCTTGATTGCAGACCGCGATGTACCTCTTACTACCCGATTTAATGAACGAAACCCATTGCTGCAGCGTATCAAGGTTGGTTGTGCGGTCGGGTACGGTCATACGAAGCCATTCGAAATCCCTCTCCAATAAGCCCATCCAGGTGCCATGAAGGCCATCGACGTCAATTAGCATACGCAGGGTGGCCGGCCCATCGTGTATAACGCGAGCAATGTACTTCAGCCTACGAATTCTGCGTATATCGGATAAGCCTGGGCGCTGGGCACAGTAGAGCACTGCCTGGTCCGTGAAATGCTCGTCAGTCTCCGTGGTATGCACCATGCCCGTGGCCGCCCGCATCGCTTTGATATATGCTGCATTGATCTTACCCTCGTTCATCACTCCGACGTCGTGCCATATCTCAACCTGTTGTAATAAGCGAGAGCAAGCCAGAGCCTCGACGTACCGTACCTTAGCAGCTGTCGAAATTGATCTTTTTGACAAAATACCTCTACGAATCGGGCCCATTGCATGCTCGTGTCGTTGTATCCGTCGAGCCATCTCTGGATTCCATGATGTATCAAACGATATGATAGAGCCCATGTGTTTGTATTGCCGTTCAATATAGAACTCGTACTTGTACCTGTCGCTCTTGATGACCGTAGCATCCTCAGAGTATAGCGTGTGTCTAAGTTGTTCCCGTTGCGCGCCACGTATTTGGACCACCACACCCGTTTTGCCTCTGCCATAGTTGGGTTCCATGAAATGTGAGATAAACGATTCGTGCATAGTGTCCATCGCTTGCCGAAGATGTTCCACAACCATGTCGTTGTCCAAGATAGCTGGGATCATGACATCATCAACGAAAGTGATGTCCACCAATTTTGTGCAAAGATCATCGTGTTTGCGCACAAGCGGGACGTCTTGATCAAGTGCAGAGCAATCGAAAAGCAAACCCATTGAGTCCAGCTTCTCCACAGCAGTGTTAAGTGGCTTCGAGAAGACAATATTGAAGAAGTAGTCGGCCGTCGCGCATCCTGGCCTCGATCCTCTGGTCGGAACCCCGAGTTGTTGGTTGTCCGCAACCTCAAATACCGTAAGACGTTGTGACTCCGACGCAAGATGCCGTAGATGCGGGTCCACTCGTGGTGAATCAAGGAGCCCAGGTTGTGCAATGATCGCAGAGGCCAACGGCACAAGACTGGCAGGGATGTCGCAGTCATCCAGAATCTTATAAGGCTCGTCTTCCAAATACTGCATTCCACATGCCATCTGCCGTATGATCCTGTGAAAAGCCGCCACCAGATCCAGGAAGAGGAAGGCCGCCGATTTGCCCATGCGTGCCGCAACGGCCGAGACTAGCCTGGCTTGATGCGCAGCCATTGTCGGTGAGCGACGTGGACGACCACCGAGTTGCGAGTCACGCAGCATTAGGTCGATCGTAAAAGCCAGTTGTTGTCGGAGAAATCTATAATGGTGCTTGGCAAATACGTTGCATATGGTAACCGCTCGGTACGCCTTGTTGGTCGACGAGTCACCAATAGCCTTGGAGACCTCCGCAAGCCGACTATGCTTGAAGGCAATTGGCTCAATACCAGTCAAGCAAATTTTCGTCATAATCGGCGCCATGAGGCGGGCTACCTGTCGAGGTGCTGCTTTGACCAACTCCTCTTGAATGCCGTCTGTGCCCGCAGCCTTGCGTGAAGGCCCCCTGGTGAACATCCTCTCGACCAAATAAAGACTTGGAACATGTTCAATGCGCAGGGGGATGTCGTCCAGGGCCGTACTCGGAAATTTTATAAACTCATCCACGTATGAAGCAGCATCCAGAATACGAGCATCCTCAAGCTTAGAGTATATCTTCATCCTGTTGTGGCCCATATCTTCATCTGAACAAATGACAGCCCCGTTATTGTCCACACGAAACGGAAGGAATGACCCTCCAGTGTGCCGTGGATGTTGCCGTCCAGCGCTGCGCAATAGTTTGTTTGCAGCTTGCCATGCTAGACGGTTATCCCCAGCAAGTGTTGCCTCTCCGATTTGATCAGCGAAAGATTCCAATCGGTCTGCCTTCTCTTTCTCCAGCCTATCCGATAGTATGGACTGGGTGGCCACCATAAACGAATCAAGCTGTGCCGCAAACTCCTGCAATGACCACATTTTGTCCCGAAGTAAGGCAATACCTAATACCAACTGTTGCGTCTGTGGATGCCAAGGATCACCTTCCTTGGAGTAGATATCCAGTTGGCTCGGCAGGAACTTACATAGGTTGTCGAATGCATCCAGCTCCTTGCGTTTCCATTTCCTCCGAGCCGCCAATACATACCGACGCAATCGGATAAGCTGCATGGTGTTACGACTAATATATGCTTGATGTGGAGTCAACAGATCCTTCGAGAAAATTTCCTTGGCGTACTTTTTTATGCTACCAATAACTTCCGCATACTGATTGTTGACCTCCTGTTCCCAGTGACCAGGGCGTAGCGTCTCAAGCCTGCGACGAAATTCGAGCTGTAATTCAGGATCTGAAAGTTTTTCATATGACAGCCGTA